CTTGATGTGCGGTCGGGGTAGGTAGCAGATGTCAAACCCTCCCAACTCTACTGACTATTTAATTAATCTTCTTGATGCTTCTGATTTTATAGAATATCCTTCATGGTAAATTGTGTGCAGATGTCGATGGCATGCACTTGAGAGTTTGAATGCAGTCTCCTTGCTGAGAATATCAATGCTAGAGCAGTCTTGTCCGCTAACAAATAATGACTCTTTATGTCAGAGAGAACCTTGCTAACTTAGTAGATCAGATGCTCGACTGAGTTTTCCTCCCTGGCTAGGACTGAGCTTATTGCAAGAGGTGAGATAGCTAGGTAGACATACAACATCTCTCCTTGAATGAGCTTTGAAAGGAGAGGTGGCGAGGCAATATAGGTCTTGAGTTGTTCAAAGGCAGCCTGACATTCATCTGTCTAGTAGAAATTGGTGTTTCAAGGAAATCTCTATATCTTGAAGAATGATAAGTGCTTATCTCTGGAACGTTCAAGGAAGAGAGATAGGGCAGCTATGTGATTGTTCAAGCGTTGCACCTCAATGATATTTCATGGGGGCACCATGTCTCTTAGTATCTTGATATTCTCTGAGTTTGTTCAATCTGGTGATTGGTGATCATGAATCCTAAAAACTTTCCCTATGTAACTCCAAAGATACATTTACCTGTGTTGAGGTGCATTTCATGACAATAAAGAGGTTGGAAGCACTCTTCTAGATGAGCGATGTATTGGGATGCTTTCAAGATTTTTACAACCATATCATCAATGGATACCTCCATTATGCACCCGACGAAGTCTTTGAAGACCTTATTTATGAGACATGGTAGGGTTCACCAGCTTTCTTTGATCAAAATGCATGGTCTGGTAGCAGTATAGACCCATGTCAGTTTGGAAAGAGGTGGCCTTCTTGTCCCTTGGATTCATCTTAGTCTGATTTACTTTGAGTAGACATTTAAGAAACAGAGCATCTGGTGTCGTGACGTGGAATCAACTAGTTGTTCTATGCATGGAAGGATAAAGATGTTCTTTTGATATGCCTTCTTAACTTCAGTGTAATCGACACACATCATCTAAGCACCGTTGGCTTTCTTAACCATGACGATGTTTGTCAACCATGTACGGTGGTGCACTTCTCCTATGAAACTCGCTTCCATAAGTTTGTTGACTTCTTGTTTGATGACTTGCAGATGATCTAAGGAAAAGTTATGTTTCTTCTAGATGACTGGGTTGAAGGTCGGACCAACCTTTAAAGAGTGCTTGATTACCTTTGGGTTGACTCCAGGCATGTTAGTCGATGCCCATGTGAAGTTGTCTTGATTCCTCTTGAGGAAATCTGCATATTTCGACCTATGGTCATCAGAGAGTAAGGAACCAGGCTGCATCGTTCGTGATGTTTAGTCACCAGAGAGCAAAATTTTGATCAAGTCTTCTTTCGGGGAAGCACGTCAGGATGCATCCTCATCTCAGAGATCAAAATGTTTGATGTTGAGTGTTATCAATGAGCATGGTTGGGCTTGTTTGAGGAAGCATGATTGTATTGTATGTTGATCTCCACGCATAACATCAACCCCTACACAGGTTGGGAACTTGAGTTTGAGGTTTGGTACAAAAGTGATTATGTTGAAGATGGACTACAGAGGTCGCCCAAAGATGACATTATAAACAAACTCTGTATTGACGATGATGAACTGGATAAAGTGAGTCACTTCTCTAGAAAATTCTCCCATTACAACATGGAGATTTATTATCCCTTCAACCCTTACTAGTCAGTTGTCAAACCGTACAATGGGCCCAGAGTGGGTTGAAGCTTCTCCCTGGTCAACCCAAGACTGCGGAAGGTAGAGTAGAATAGGACATCGAACGATTTGTCATTGTTGATCAGGATCCTCTTTAGTTTGTAGCAGGGTTCACCGATTACTGCACTGATAATAAGAGGGTTTTGGTGGGGGACTCTGACTCATTCTAGATCAGAATCATTAGAAGTGACAGCTCAAAGCGTGGCTTCTTTTATGTTGGTTCTCTAGGTGCAGTGATAATGACTTAGTTGGATAATAATGGCCCTCCAATGATTGTCTAAATTTCTTCGATAATCTAGTGACTCCCATGTTATTGCTTCTGCATCAGTTGCCCTCCGAGTAGGGACGTTATCAACACCTATTAGTTTATTCTACACAAACTGACCATGACAACCCTGTTAAATTAGTCTTTCAATCTCTTTCTTGAGCTATTTGTACGCTTTGGTGGTGTAACCATGATTCCGACAGAAGTGACAGTATTGATCCTAATACCTTGTGCTAGGTTTCAGATGGCAAGGCCACTTTACAGTCTTTTCATTCTTGATGACAATCAGAATGCTGTCACGTAATGTGTTGAGTGGAATATAGTCCCTCTCTCGTCAATGCTCGCATTGCTAGTTTGCAGGCTGAGGAGGGAAGTCGCACTTCCCCCACTATTTAGACTTTCTACATTGTGAGGTTGAGTTGGCATCTTTAATTTTATTCTTACGCTTATTTCCGAATTACTCAAATTGTTACTTGTGTGTGCTGATGGCCTTATCTGTAGTGCTTTAGTCCTTGATATGGTGAACAAGATTGGCATAAGAGTGGATTGTCTCCCATATCAATGATGAGTAGAAAGGTCATGGGCGAAGTCCCCAAGGAAGACCCTTTAGCAATTCTTGATTAACACCTGGAATCTAGTTAGCTTCAGTGATGAACCTTTGGAAGTAATCTTTAAGTGAATCTCCCTCATTCTGACAAATTTCTAAGATGTAGGATGAATCTTTGAAAACTTCAAACTTGTGATGAAAAGCTCCACAAATAGCCTGACAAGCTCATTAAAAATATTGATAGTACTCCCCCGCCCCCGGGAAGTGACAAGAACAAGGTGTGAGCTTGATCCTTAAGAGTGGCTAGGAACACTTGACGGAGAAGCACATCAGGGGCGCGTTGAATGTTCATGATAGTTCAATAGTAGCAACGTACACGTAAGCGTCAGTTACCATTTTATAGGAATCATTGTTCGGGAGCTTGAAACTTGTTAGAATGGGGTGTTGACAGACCGCCTTGGCTAAGGAAGATGATTGTTGAAAGTTGTGGTAAGCAATGAAACAATCCTTATTCTCTAGAGAAAAATCTTTTCAGATTAGGCATCATAGCTTGTCGCGGCTGATTAGGAATGACTACAAGGAGAGGCGGCGCCAGGTGAGTGAAGCAAGATGGGGGAGTGGAACTTGCAGTATCAAGGAGTTCATCATCCCAGTCTAGTAAAGGAAAGGTTCCATCACAAGGAGGAGGCCTAGTACGAGTAGGTTCGAGTGGAGTGTTTCTTACTGGCTACTGGGCTGGTGGTAAGTGAGCTCCATCTCGTGGAGTGGGCATCGATTGTCAATCCCTTCAGGATTTCTATTTGAAATTCCTTCATCCTTCGTACTCGGTCTTCTAGAGAAGGGCTCGAGGCATCTTTGCTAGTAGGGTAACGTCTTCCAGGGTAAGAAGATATGGAGGCTTGACATCCCTGACTCCATGACTGTCGCTTAGAGTGATGAGTGTTAGAGCGAGAAGTTCTGTTATTGCGGTTATTGTAACTGGTGGCCATGCAACAAGGATTGCAAGTACTTCAATGATGGGATAACTCAATTTTCCAACAAATGACCCAAACTAATGTGTGTTAGGAGATTCGCGACGGTAGAGTAAAAAATTATTATCTTAGTGTCGTACTAAAATCTAACACACACTCAAATAGAAGTAAGAAAATAATGACAACACCAAAAGTTTTTACATGGAAAACTTAAAAAGGGAAAAAATAAGAGGCCTTACCCAGTTGAAATGTTCCATTATGAGTTGGTGATTATAAATACAACCCCTCGTCCAACAAGCGAGAAATGGTTACATAATCTCTTAAATTAGAACATTGGGCACGGATGAACCAGTGGTAGGGAGTAAGCGATAAAGGCAGCCTTCAATGGCGACGACGACCTGAGATGGCGTCGGCCAAAGGGCGACGGTAGTTAGAGGCATTGACCATTGGAGGGTGGCAACGACGACGACGTTTGGAGGGCGGCGACAGCCTGAGACGACAACGACCAGAGGGCGGCGGCAGCTGCGGTAGGAGGGCGGCATCCAGAGAAGGTGACAGTCGAAGGGCGGAGGCAGTCAAAGTCAACTGAAGGCGGCAATGATCGAAGGGCGGTAGTGGTCTGAGGGCGACACTTGTTGGCGCGTGGTAGTTGCATGGGAAGGCGGCGACCTAAGGGCAACGACGATCGAAGTGCAAAGGTAGACAGAGGCTGCAGCCGGAAGGCGGCTGTGACCAAATGGTGGAGGCCGTGACGACAGAAGACGACGATGTAGGAGGCTAGCCTGTAGCTCCCTTTTATGGAGACTCTGCACTCTCTGGCTCTAAATCTCTATCCCCTCTCATGAGGGGCTTGGGGCTCTACTTATAGAACCTAAATTGCAAATGAGACGAAAATCCCAAACACACTTGATTAGACGACCGAGAGAGATCCCCTTGATCAGACGACATTTGATGGACATTTGACTATCTTAATGATGTTATAATTAAGTGATCTTGTGCACGTTTGATTGACGTTTGACAGTATCATGCCTCAAGGTTCATGTTGAATATTTAAAATTTATTTGTGGCATATAAAATTTTATTACATTTATTTACTCAAAATGTCCAGTTTAACTACAAAATTCTAAAATGAAAGCTCGTATAATTTTTAATTTAAATCTAAAAATTATCTTTTCTATATAAAGATTTGTCTCTAATCATTTTGATTTTTTAGTGACATAATAATAATAATAATAATAATAATAATAATAATAATAATAATAATAATAATAATAATAATAATAATGTATATGAAGAAAATTGAAATCAAAATGACTGAGAGGGGGTCCTTCCTCGAATAAGTAATAAAAGATTCCGCTATTGTCAATTACTAATAAATCGTTGTCACTCGGAAACAGCGGGAATTCAGTTCATTAGCACCAAAGTGGGTTCCGGAGGGATTATTCAAATTAAAAGGATATTTAGTAATTGACCCCAGGCGGATTTTACTATCGTCTTCTTCCATTTATTTAGGGAAGAAGGCCGGCCATGAAAGCCATTTCCTCCTCTCCCTCTCTCTCTCTCTCTCTCTCTCTCTCTCTCTCTCTCTCTCTCTCTCTCTCTCTCTCCAAGTTTTGGGAGATTCAAAGCTTAGTCAAGTCGATTACTAATTCGATCGATCAGGAAGGTAATCCTTTCTTTGTTTCTTATCATTCATTTTTTCCGGTTGCTCTAAATTTGAGGAATTTTTTGCTCTGTTACGCCACAATTTGATCTATTAGGGTTTTTCTGTGATGAATGTGATTTTTTTTTTCAGACTTATTGCTTTTTCTTCTATTTTGTATTTCGATTAAAGTTTTCAGCTTTTCATTTCTGTATTCAGTTTTTTTTTTTTCTTTAAATTAAAGTTTGATGAGATCGCGTTTTAGATGTATATTTATGTGTACTTGTGAAAGTGATGGTGATTTTATAGTTCAAGTTATGGCTTTGTTCTTTACCTTGTCTTAGAGGGTTTTTTTCTTTGTTTTTTTAGTTGCTGTGTTGAGTAATTTTGACTATTTACTGGCTATTTTCTATTTTGCTCTGCAGGAATAAAGAATAATGACATAAAAAGAGAGAAAAATAAAAATTTTTATCTTGTTTATATTCTTTGTGCTCTTCTGTTGTTTCTAAATAGTAGTTTTGGTGTTGTCTATTTGTTATATTGATTTTCTTAAGGGAAGGGCTATCTTGAGCTCATTAGTTGGTTCTTCTACACTTTTGTTGATTTTACTTTTGTTAGAAAGTTCTTACTGAGGATTTTATTCAGACGTCTAAATTTTGTCTGATTGAAATAATAGATTTCCTAAGCAAAACATGTAATAATTAGCTTCTAAGTGCTGTTTGACATCGCTTTTATTCTTTTTTTTTTTTAATAATTTAGTCAAAAAATGTTTGATTAGAGGCCCTGTTGGATTATTTTGATTTGTATTTTTAAATTTTTATATTTGTTTTGTTTTATTTTGTTTATGGCTTTGCTTGAAATAAATCATGTTTTGTATGTTGTAACATACTTTTTTTTAAAAACACTCAAAAAATTTTTCAGGTGTTCTTAGTATTTTTAAAGCAAGTTAATTTATTTTTAAAATAAATAAAAATATGCAAAAAATGCACTAAACAAACATAATTTCTTTAAAAAAAGCAAAAAACAAAAACAAAAAGAGAAGTCATCCCAAACAAGCCTTTAGTGTTTGTTTTTATTCTTTTCAAAGCTTGAACTGGCAATCACCCTACCTCAGATCTTTGTCTGGTCCACCTCTTCTTTCATGTCTAAACATAAATAAATAAAATAAATATAATGATATGAAGAAAACAAAGAATGATCTCAAATACCCCCATAATTATCCAGTAATTAATAGTTATATAATTTGGCATAGCAGTCAGCTCTATATTTTGGCAGCTCTAGCTCTTTAAATCGAAAACACATTGTCCATTTTGATGCTTATTAAGCTGAAAGTTGCATTTTTAATTTGCAAAACCTATTTTGCAAATCACTCTTTCTGTAAACTTATAATTTTGATGATTGCTTCAGATATATATACATGTAAAATAAGAAAAGCAAATTCTTTTCATTTTCTTACAGAATTCGTGGAAGCCAAAAATCTGGGAATGCTGAAAAATGTGCAACTCCGGCATGAAATCCTTGCCCAAAATTACTGATATTGTAACCCCATCTGAGTTGACTTGGCTCATTCTTGATGAAAATGTTCTGTGTTGTTTAAGGCAGTTTACTTCCTTTGAACTGACTAGCCATAGATTCCGAAATATAATACCATCCATAATTTCAGATCATTATCGTGGGGACGACGGTTGAAATTTCAGATTATAAGATTTTACTTCTTCTGTTTATATAATACATCATATTAGTATTTTAGCTACTTTGTATCAAATATAAAAGAAAATATATTGGAATGGAAAATAAAGAATTTGTTTTGATGAAGAAGTATGAGATAGGGAGAATGCTAGGAAAGGGTACATTTGCAAAGGTATACTATGCCAGGAATATAAATACTGCTCAAACAGTTGCTATAAAGATGATTGATAAAGAGAAAGTGCTGAAGATTGGACTTATGGATCAAATCAAACGTGAGATTTCTGTAATGAGGTTGATGAATCATCCGAATATTGTCGATCTTTATGAGGTCATGGCCACCAAGAATAAAATTTATTTCGTGATGGAATGCATGAAGGGTGGCGAACTCTTCAACAAAGTTGCTAAGGGAAAATTAAAGGAAGATGTCGCAAGGAAATTTTTTCAGCAGCTAATCACTGCAGTGGAATTCTGCCACAGCAGAGGAGTTTATCACCGAGATCTAAAGCTTGAAAACCTGTTGCTTGATGAGAATGGTAATCTGAAGGTTTCAGATTTTGGATTTAGTACTCTTATAGATTCGAAGAGACAGGATCTCTTACTTCACACGACCTGCGGAACTCCGGCTTATGTTGCTCCTGAGGTGATTAGTAGGAAAGGCTATGATGGTGCTAAAGCTGATATATGGTCATGTGGGGTAATCCTTTATGTTCTTCTCGCTGGTTATCTCCCTTTTCGTGACGCGAACTTGATGGTGATGTATCGGAAGATTGGGAAGGCGGAATTTAAATGTCCTCATTGGTTTCCTCCTGAAGTTAGAAGGTTATTATCGAAGATCTTAGACCCAAATCCGACTAGGAGAATCTCAATTGAAAAAATCATGGACCATCCTTGGTTCCAAAAAGCTTTTGATGGAAAACAAAAGGAAATTGTGACGGAAAAAGAAGAAGACATAACTCATATTGATGTTAACAATAGCTTGATTGCAAATAATAACAATGTTCAGGAGGAAGAGAAGAAGGATGAAATGAAAATAAGAAATATGAATGCATTTGACATCATCTCTCTTTCTAATGGATTTGATCTTTCAGGCTTATTTGTGGATGCTGACCACAGGAATCAAGCACGGTTTACCTCTTGGCATCCTGCAACAGCCATTATTTCAAAGCTTGAGGAAGTTGCCAATTTTTTGGGATTCAAAGTTCAGAAGAAGAATGGAATCGTGAAAGTTGAAGGATCGAAGGAAGGGAGAAAGGGTTTTGTTTCCATTGATACTGAGATATTTGAACTGACTCCTTCGTTTCACTTGGTTGAGATGAAGAAGACTAATGGGGATGCTCTCGAGTATCAGAAACTCTGGAAGGAGAATATAAGGCCTGCTTTAAAAGACATTGTTTGGGCATGGCAAGGTGAGGAAGGTGATTTACAGCAGCTGAAATCTTGAGTTTTAGATCCAGCGCTTAATTGATCACCTTATCAATGTTTTCTTTGATGTCTTCATAAAATTCTGTATTATAGTCGTCTTTATGCTATCAAACTGTTGTTACGTCAGTCTTCAGAATTAGTCAGTTTAATGATGATTATGTTGTTGCTGTGAATCTGAAGGTTACTCTTTTGGAAACTTGCCTGCTATATGTTCAAGTAATTTTAGTTTTTAACTTATACAAATGAAATATTCTCTCTTTCTAAATTATTCTGCAGTTGTGATTATGCAATTCGGGTTCAGGAGCTGAGTTTATAGCTTTTGAAGCTGTAACTGTTTGTCTTATATATAAGAAAATATGTTGGCTACTAAAATGTGCAATTGAAAAAATTGTTGTATATCCAAGTTTTAACAGGACAATATTTCGCCAGCATTTGTAAGACAATAGCACACATTCTGATAGGATTTTGGATTCTGTTTAGAATTTTTTTCTCTCTTTTACGTGAAAATTTGCACAACCTTGTGAGGTCATTATCCTGCTTTCCAGCATCCTGCTTTTCTGGGTTATATAATTGAGTTCTGACAGAAGAGTGATTGCTTTGTTCATTGTAGAGTCCAGATGTCCTCCTCACATATGTTGCGGTATTATGCATGAACGTTGTCAATTATATTATGACAAGTGTCAAGGAAAGAGCTATTAAAATAAAGCCGTTTGGAGTAGTAGCTCAACAAAATTGGAAACCATTCATATTAAAAGAACATAAAAGCATCCAAAAATTATGAATGCAAAGTTCGGTGGGATTAAATTCAGAGATTCTTAGTTGAAAGTCTAAGCTCTTAACTAATAGGTTATGGTCACATAACAGAGTTTATGAACTCGATGTACCACTTAACTTTATTGGGCAGTTATACTATTTGATATGTGATATTAAACACATGCACACTACATGTGCAAGATCTTAAATTTAGGATCTCTTAGTTGAAAAGCCCAAGCTTTCCATCAACACGCTAAGGTGGCTTGCATGTAGTTTTTGAACTTGATGCACCAGCTATCGTTAATTAGGTATTCACAGTTGGACTAGGCCCAACCACAGAGTTTTAGAGAAAATTTATATGCACCAGCTTTTAGGTTTTTAGTGGTTTTCAGAATCTGATGATAGTCATCCAGTTTAGCATATAATGAGATGACAGATTTGTTTATCATTCCAAAAAGTTTGATCTCTACCTTCCAAAAGAGGGATTTTGATAATATGTTTTACAACAGTTAGGACATTTGAAAATCTAAGCTGAGCACTGCCTTATTATTTATATTAAAAAGAATAAGGTAAATATTAATCAGAATATTTTTTCTTTTTCCAAAATATTCATTTATTTAAGAGTCATAAAAAAGATAAATAGATCATCCCCAAAGGATAAGAAACTCCAAAATGCATATGATTTTGTTGCGTGCGGAAAATTTGTGGTGGTTGACATCTTAACGTTGCATGGAGATCCAACAAATAGACATATAACAAAAATGTAGCAGAAAAAGACACCAAAATTTTTTACATATAAAAACTTAGAGGTGAAAAAAATCATGGGATTTAGCCCGGTCAAAGTAATCAACTAAAAGTGACTAAGTACAAGGATATACCATTTTCTCACGACTAGAAGAGTGTGTTTACAATTATATACTAGATATAACATTTTTCTATTTACAATGTATAGAAAAACTTCAAGAGATTGGAAAGAATCATCATGTTCTAAATACGATAGTTGTAGGCGACGATTGTTGCAATTATCGGCAGACATTTGATATGGCGTTATATGTTACTGTCCTATTTCAGATACGATGTTAGCAAACAAGGGGAAAACATGACGACAAGCAGGATCAGTCGACGGTGGTTGACGGTGTCTGACGTGTGGTGGTTGACAGTGTTATGCGGCTATAGAGAATGGAAGTTGTTGTTGGGTTTTTAGTACAACGTTGCACGTTACGATCTTATTTGGGATATGCCTTAGCAACTAGGGGTGGCCGACCATAACGAGTACGGGCGGCAAGCGGTGGTCGACGGTGGTCAGTAACTACAGAAGCAAAAAATTATCATCGAGCATCCAATCTTGGCTCCGGAATTCCTTCACTTCTCTTTCCTACTACCCATGTGAAGAGAGAGAGTTTATTTATTGCCTTTAGGATAAGGGCATTTTGGCTTTATGATGATTAACTTCCCAATCTCCCTAATCGAGTGGCCCATATTGATCTCCTTTGATCATAAGAAATTTTTTTTAGTAATTTGAGGACTTTAAAGACATTAAAATTAAGAGAGCTTAGGTTAATTATATTTCTCTCGTTGAGATACTCGATTTGAATATAAATATAACAAATTTGGAGTTCATTTGACCATTCAATTGATGATCTAAAAATTGAAAAGTTTTTTAATAGATTGATATGGGCTTGATTGGACTCAGATTGATATCATTGAATTCTTCTTATTGAGATGGTCAATTTAATTATAAACTTATTGAAATTGAGGACTTGAATAATCTTGAATTTGAATATAGATTATTTGCTAAAATGTCTTGAGATTCCTGCTAGATGATAAAAATTTATTAATAACACATTAGTTACCCCTTATTTTTGGGCAATATTGTTTATTTCACCAAAAAAAAATATTCCAAGAATTTGTGCTTTGAGGTGTTTTGAGTTTTCATGAGTATTTTGTTAAGTTTTGACCAAGTTATCATTGTTAAAGCTGGTCAGGCAGCTGTGGTCTGAAGATGATGGTGACGACCGAACAATGTTACTCTAATGATGGTAGAGACCGTAGGGCATTGGGAATCTTCTGGAGTTGCAGTCAAGCATGCTTAGGTGCATATGTACATATAAATGGTCCCCTGGGAAGAAGTGGGTGCAAATGAACCAAATATGGGTTCTTGAGCACCTACAGAGCATCTAGTGCCTCCTTTAGAGGCTCCAACCTGATGCATGGGGGCTGAGGTGCCCATTTTGGGCACTAAAGCGCCCCAAGCCCTTAAAGGAAGGCTTACCTTCTTGTATAAACTCTCTCCGGTGTGCCCAACGTCATGCTTATGGCTTTTTATGGATCCCCAAACTACTGAAAACTATCCAAGAAAGAAAATGGTCTATCTAACATATGTGTGAACACCAAGAAACTTTCGTCCAAGGCCAAAGACGGCTATAGTAGCCCAAAACCCTAAATTTCACCTCGGGCGTTCATTAAAAAGTTTCGACTGATCTGGAAGCTCCAAAAGTCATGAATGACTCAAATATGACTGCATAGACCAAAGAAGTATTCCAAGGGCATCATTTGAGCATTTGGTGCCGACGAGGGTCCCGAACCCTCGCACTGGCAGAAAGGCCTGAAATATGACTTATTTCAAAAATGTGGATAAGAGAGTTTGATGACTCCCCTTGGTTGAAGGCTCCAAATAGCGGGATATGGACTCTAAACACCAAAATAGACATTAAATGCATCCCGTGTAGAATCATCATCATCCAAAGTGAGCTCTCCCGGGTATGGCTGAATCGGTACCGCTCTTGGACTCGTGCTCGAAGCATGTACCAGGAAGTCCAAACGGATGTCTTGGGTTGTGGTAGACTAAACATTGTCCCGTATCGTTCAAGTAGACGCCTCACACATATGATATCAATAGTGATGCCAACAACCGATGCTACTTTTCCATGACGTAAAAGCCGCAAAAGAACCGCAGCGGCAGGATTCCAAACCGGCCCTTAATGAAGTGATAGGTCTACATGTATTGTACATATGAAATGTAAATTTATCGAGAGCTATGCAACTATCTAATTTAAATTTGGGTCACATTTATTTATGTTATCTTTAATTTTAATTCAAAGTTTCGAATCAAGATTTAGAGAACTTTATTTTATTGTATTTTTGTAGGTTTAATTATTTAATACAAAATTAAACTTAAATTTTTTATGTGCATAATAGTAGTATATGTGGTTGGGTGATAAGTGTCTCAAAGAAAAAAAAAAATATTACGTGCGCAGTCCGGATGTATACAAACTCCAATAGCATCGTGACGGTGGCACATTGACTTCGAGTTAGGGTATAAGTAGGGTACAAAATTTGTACCCTCATAATAAAGCCGGGTATAAGTTTTGTGATCTCTTATACTCCGAGGTTATCAGTTTTTGTACCCTATTTATTTCCTACTTGTACCTTCGGGTATAAGCAGGGTATAATACTTATACGCTGCTAGTACTATGCTTGCTCCCGAACACCATGTAAATGTACACAATGCTATTGGAGTCCGTATACATCTGACTCCACACGTAATATTTTTTCCTCGAAAAGGGTGCCTGATCTTTAATTAACACAAACAGTAATTACCAAATTTTTTATTGAAAATGTAGAATAGCCTTTACAAAAAAAAAAAAAAAAAAGTTTTTGCAGTGGTTTTTGGAGGCTACAATGGTTGTCAAAACCTGTAAAAAATTGTTTGTGATAGTTTCAAAATCGTTACAAGCTGACTGCTTTGAATGTTTTTAGTTGCAAAGGATTTTCACAATAATTTTATAATCATTGGAAAAGATTTTTGTAACTATAATAGATACCTTATGTTGTTGAATTCTGATTTGTCTATAAATCATCTGAAGGAATAGAAGGTAATATAGGAGAAAGAGAGACATAGAGAGTGAAATCAGCAATAATAAATAGTAATCTAAATTTTTTATTAGCACTTTCACCTAAAATGACTCATCTATCTATAGAAGAAGAGATATCATATATGAAAGTACATTTTTTTCTCTATTTTAATGAGGGGTGTTACAAAATATTTTTAGTAATTTACATATACTGACCTATAGTTTGTTTATCATCTGACTCAGGGCCCGTTTGGGGCAGCTTATTTGGTGCGATGACATTTTGAAAACGCACCTGACCTGTTTGCGTAAACTGCGTTTTGGCAGCTTATGTGTTTTCAAAACGCAGAAAACAGCGTTTTCACAACGCACCTATCTAGGTGCGGTGCGGTGGCAGCTTATTGGCATTATTGGCAACAGTCTGGCTTTTTCAAAAAAATAAAAATTTGTAATAGTCATCGCACCTAGCTTATCAGTTGATTATTTTTAATCCGCTTATCAGCAGATTATTCAATAAGCTACAGCTGCCCCAAACAGACCCTCAGTTGGCTGAAATTGGAGTGTCTCGATTCGACAAGTCCTGTTTGTCCGACTGTGTTGGATCGGGATTGCCAAT